TATGTTTCAAACACACATTACAAAACGAAAGGTTACCTTTGTCGTTCGGATCTCCATTCCATTTGCCAGAGGTGTAATTCCACTCTCCAGCCATGTTCTCATCTTTCTTCCATTCGGATTTAACCCAACGGTTTTCCCATCCATCTTCAAAATTTACCAAAAATACAAATGAGCACAAGAAAACAGATCCAAGAAGCAGTTAAAATTTTTATTTGATAAAAGGAAAAACTATTCAATCTGTTTTTGAGATCATTATAATATATTAACAAAACAGAAAATACTCCAAACTATGAATGTAGAAATGTCATTTGTCCAAAGCAAACAGAACCCGACAACTTTTGCAACAAACACATGAAGTTCTCCCTTCCATATATTCAGTTACTTTCTGCTCCTTTCCTTTTTGTAATTTTGAAAAGTTTCCTTTACTATCACTCCTAAGGGAGCAAGAATCCCATCAATCTTACAAAGTTACTTTCACATGCATGCCCATGTACGGTCATCACTCGGACATACATAATGTATCTGATTTTGTAGTAATTTTTACATGGAATGTAACGTGAAAGCGGCTACATAATTACCCCACGATTATACTACGACGTGATGTATATTCACATTAGTTAAAACATATAAAACAAAAGCTCAACATATTACAAAAGTTTCATTCAAATTATAGCTCGAACATGAAATTGATCGCACAACTCGTCTAAATCAATTCAGCATTTTCAAAATCAGAGATCGAAAAATCGAAAGCATAGTGAATTTGACATTTAAATTGACAAAAAGGAGAAAAATGTCATAGATCTAAACCAAAGCGTCGTAATTGCACACGCATTTAGACCTAAAGTCCATTCCTTCGTTCAAACGATCAGATCGATATGTATAACAGAAATTAACCTTGATCTTCCACAAAATAGTCAAAATATCCATCATAAAAAAACCGAAAACTCATCTAGATGACAGCACATTAAATCACAGATAGCAGATTTCCGATCTTCATTAATTAGGGAGAGAACACTACCGTCGAAGCGTTCTTCGAAGAAAACTTCAGCAGATGAAATCGCGAAAAGCAGAGAGATAGCAATGACTAGAGAGGGAAAGTCGCGGCTTTTCATTGGTGCTCTTCTCTGTACTATCACCATGGCGGTTTTAGAGAGAGAGAGAGTGAGACTGAGCGTACTTTACAGTGAGAGCTGTATATATAGGTGAGTCTTTAAGCTGGGTTTACACTGAGTTCAACTCGGATCTTGGATCTGATGTGGCATGATAGGATGAAATGGACGAATCAGAATTTGACAACGTATAACTCGCTGTCATTGATGTAACGTGGCATATCCTCATTGGGTTTCACATGGTGAAACATGTACGATAATACTTGGTCTAAAATGACGACTTTAGCCTTTGATTTTGGCGTAGTTAGAGAATGGAAGTAATGAATGTGGATGATTTTTTATTCTTATTTATCTGTTTTTTGTAAAAAAAAAAAAAAATTGAAAAATTTAAGTAAAATTAGTTTTCTCTAAAAACTCTTCTAACCAGATAAAGTCCCCTTAAAAAATTATTCAAATATATTCAAAAATAATTTGTTAATATCAGAAACAATTTTGACTTTTCAAAAGTACTTTTTAACTTTTCAAAAGTTTTATGAAACGAACACTAAAATACACAAAATTATTTTAAAATTCTCGTTTGTTCAATGATGATTACAAAATAATTTCGACTTTACTATTTTTTACTAAGTCCCGTTTGATAGAAATTAAAATTATAATTATAATTTAAATCAAAATCAACAATTAATTTTACAATCCTACTACATGTAAATGAGATTTTGCCAAGCTGCATTACAGGGGACATTTGACATGCATTCATTAGACCTTGGACAATAAATAGTTTTATCTCCCTGACAAAATCCCCTGTACAAGAGGTTTAACTCTTAATTTTAACCACATATTTTACGAGACTTAAGACTTTTGAGTCACATAATTCATTGACTTTTATTAAAAGAATAAAGCTACTTTGACATCCATTTTTGACATTTTAATTGACATCTCATGATATGTAAAACATCTGACCATATATTTGAACGTGTGTAATTCAAATAAATGATATCGACAAGTACGAGAGGTATTCAACTGACAGCAATAACATATACTTAGCAACAAGAGCAGTGCTAGTTACCTAGTCTGGTTGTGGATGATAGAACGTTAAATAAGTGTAAAATATGTCTAGTTGTCAATATTGATTGTGTATGAATAAAATAATAATTTTTAAATATAAAACGTATTAAAATAATTGTATAATTTTTAAAAAATATCATGATTGGAAAATTCGGAGTTTCATACAATTCATTTTGCATGTAGTGCCCTTATGTAAGCACAATTCGTTTTTTGCCACACATCTCTTTTCCGTGATTCTCTCAATTTCCATGATAATTGTTTTCTTTAACAATTGAAAAATATTTCATTTTACAATTAAATTTTTTTTAGTTGGATCTAATTAGATTTTTTTGAAAATAATTTGTTTCGATTCTATAAAGATTTGTTTGACCTAGTTAATGTTTGGAAAAAACCATTTGCACAGATGATGAACCGATCTACTCACATGAGGTGGGTACCCACCTCATTAAAAAAATCCCCCCCAAGTGATTTTCACCCACCCTCCCCATGACTCAACTGCTTGCACAGATCTTGCACCGATATGTGCAAGTAGCACGGTCCTGTTTGTTTACTCACTAGATCCAAACGGAAACCAAAAACTAGGGATGAAAAAAAAAATCACAACAGACATCAAGACCAAATCAAAACTGTTGTTTAGAAAGCGTTGGTTTGGATCCACACGGAACGTTGATTTAATGAAAAGTGTTAAGGTATTTTACTTGTGTGAAATGTCAATTTTTAATGATAAGTAACACAGTGTGTTACTTTTTTGTCTGGCTAAACTTGAAATGTCGAGTTTTGATGAAGTGATAATATGTTACCTTTGTTTGCTAAGCTATAATGAAAAGTAATAGCATTTTCAATTTTCTGCACCTCAGTATTTTTCAATATTTTTGTTTTATAGATGGGTATTTGTGAAATTTTCCCTTCTTCTTATTTCACAAATTTTCTGTGGGATTTTGATTCATAGCTAGTGATCACGTGTTCGAATTTTTTGTTGCATACAATATAGTTATCATTTATCAATTGGTAGAAATAAAAAAGTACAAACACACATCAACGTTGGGTTTGACTCAAATTACTGAAATAAAAATGGGAAATGGCTTAAAAGCGTAGATAAATAATTGAAGGGTTGCATGATAATTAAACGGGAAAAACCATATGTACAGAAATTATTTTTACAGATGTTTTACACCCACTCACATGAGGGCCCATAGGAATAAAAAATGATAAAAAAAAAAAAACCCACCCACATGAAGCATGGTTCTAATTATATAATGAAGAGAAGGGAGGACTGATGTAAATAATTATAGCATCCACGACCACCCCCTCTTGTGAGGGACACCGGGTTGTCAAACCCAGTGTACAAATAGCAAAACCATTTAGGATATATCTATACTCAATTCTATTAATTCTTGCTTGTATGATAAGATCATGCGTTATATTTTGATTCCGAACTAAATTAAAAGATTATAAGGGCCATGTTTGTTGGGAATTAAAATATAGATTTTAATTTAAATCAAAGTCAATAACAACCTTTATGGGTCCATAATTTTTCAAGCACATATTTCGTCAAGTTTTATCAAAATCTAAAATATAATTTAAACCCCACCAAATAGAGCATGTGTAGTCTCGTATTCTCGTGAATTAGTTTGTCTATTTAAAATATATACTTTTCAATTTGTATGTGTGACATTCCGGAATTTGCTAGTAAAAAATTTAATATTTTAGAAATGATTTAAAA